GAGATTTAACAATGAACATAACGGCTGCCTCAATCAGCGAGTGAAGAGAACTCTTTGCTAGCTGACACGGAGCTCCGACTGCTCGTTTTTCCTCCTCCAACATTTTCATTAAATCACCTTAAAGTACCTGCAGAGCCACACAGTTTGTTTCACTCACCTATGCCTTTTCTCTACAGCTTCCTCCTCTAGCTCATCCTCCAGCGTGGCCTCGTGGATTAGTAAGGTCGCATTTTTTCCTGGGTTAAAAAAAGAAAGAATGAGAAGCCCAAATCAGAGGGAAGCACTTAGAGCTTCTTCCCGTCCCACAGGAAATCAATCAGGTGGTCAGCGTGATCAAGAATCCGCATGCCCTGTTTGTCCGGTGAGCTGAGCCATCTATAATGAGCAGACTTGGGAAACACTGGCTGTCTCTGGGAGGCTTTGCTTGGACAGAATCCAGTCAAGCAATTTAAGAAGAGTCAATGAAGAGGGATCCCAGAGGAACCATTAGAAGAGGCTGCCAGCTACAAGAGTGATTGAGAGCATTAAGAAATATCGGATAAATTATTCAAAACAACCCGTGTAGTCGAGCTAGAGTCAAGATGACCTTATATGAATCACTGTAATATCGAAAGCGGACGCTCAATTTGCTATTATGTGCTTCTGCCTAGATACACTTGGGTGACGTATGGACTTTAATCAGTCTGAGTAGGACTAACCGATGTGTACGAATGCGTCGCAGGGCATGGTGTCTCCAGAAAAGGCCAGCTTCCAGCCTGCCTGGTGAGTGAAGCTGCAGGCAAAGGCGTTCTTGCAGTGACGCACTAAACATGTGTGGAACTGGGAGACACACGGGAATAAAACGATGAGTCACTTTAAAAAGGCTTCAATAAATAAACAAACGTGAGGTTCAAACGGCTGCTGACCCGCTGCAGGTTGTTCTTCTTCAGCATCGCTTGGATGAATGACTTCGTCCTCTGTTTGGGAACCTCGACGGTGTCGCACAGAAATTTATTGGGGATGAGGCTGAAAAACAAATCAGAGAAACGACGCACTGAAACTGACCGTTTCACCTTTAAGCACAGACAAGTGCGTGCATGATTAGTGTGAAGGGTGTCATCACAAGGACCTGGTGCAGGAAATTAACAGAGAGACTTACATTAGACCACTGGAATTACCTTAATGTAACATAAAGCCAAAGTGCAGTTCCTGTTTTGGCCACTGGAGATTGTCTCCAAAAGCAAGTCAATCCCCATAGACTCCCATGTTAAAGGCCAACATTTAGTTGGTCGTGTTTGCAGTCTGCAAAAATGTGTTTTTGCTTCTATGGACGAGTTTCTCCCTTCATAGCAAATCTACAAGAATTCATTTGGATTCTTGAGCCGACTGATCGCTCCCAACACAGGCAGCTATATGCCTCTCTGACATGTTTTTAACTGTTGGTCCCTTTAGGAATTTTACTTGCTACTTGGTTCAGACAAAAAACAACAAAACAGGCTTGTAGGTTTTTCTGAAGTCTGATCTAACTGCCAAGGATCTTTGACAGTCAAAACACAGCTGATGATGATTCGAAACCAGTGAGTTTCAAACAGCACAGTGTCTATGCTCATCTGTTATCCTGTTCATGGTTTCAGTCAATGCAACTTAAAGGCTGAAAGACCTCCTGCTGCTATAGCTCTAGTAATTTAGTTTACTGAGTTACTCCATAAGCATTTCTCAAAACTCGTATTTTCTATGTCTTATATTTCTATAAAGTAAAAAAACAACAACATACTTGTAAATTTAACTGTACAAGTGGATTCTTCAATTACAGACCTGCTCTTTTTTTATTTTTAAACTCAAATAAAACAGAAATTCTCATCACTGGTTCAGGGAAGCTCCAAGTATTCAGTCTTCCCAGAGCCTTTTATCCATTCATGAAATCACCTGTTAGAAGCCGGGTTTAGTCTGACCTTTGAGAAACATTTAAAGAAGGTCAGACAGTCCTTTGTTCTTTATTCTGTGTTTCTTTTTATCGGTTTTCAGCGTTATTTTGATATCGTTTTGATCGTTAACTGTGTTTTCCTGGGTCTTTTCACGTGTGTTATGAATAAATCTTCTTTTTTTCGGTACCGGTACTA